TATTGCAAATTAGCATATGCGAATTATACACTAGAAACTCTCCAGGTTCGACTCAAGTTCTATTGGCAGATCTTTTTCACAGCAAAGTTTTGTTTTTGTAGTGATGGATTTTTTGTCCACAACAACTACATTGCTTCCAATGCATACACTTGTTTTAGTGCTGCTTTAGGAAGACGGGTTAATGGCTCTGAACGTAGAGACGGCAACTTCTATATATTTTTTTTTTTTTTTGAAAATGTTGACCTTTGTGAGGAAGGTACCAGAAAGAGTGCACCGATATTGAACCATATCCGAACTCGATCTAAGTTCGACGATGATATTACGATGCATCAAGTTTGGGCCAAATCGGATACTCCGTTCGAGAGGAATCGTGCGCAACAGCCAGACGAACGGACGGACAGACATCGCTAGATCGATTCCAAATGTCCTAAAACGATTTTGGTCCAAAGAGACCTAGGGTCTAAAATCGATATTTCGATTAGGCACGTTTTTGGCCGTATCAAATGATGTATACCCTCGGTAGCCATATGGCTGAGGGTATAAAAGTGTGCGAAAAATATTAATTTGGGGTTGGCCCAGTCTCCCCCTCACAGCCCACTTTCAATTCCATGAATTGTAATCCAGTTGAATATCCATTTTCAGAAAACTTGGATATTTTCAACATCAATGTAGAGTTATGCATTTTTCCCTAACATATTTCTATTTATGTTTTATGCCAAAATAAGCGCCCTTGATGTTAAACTAAAAATTGAAATTAGTTTGCAACACCATTACATAGTGTAACCTAATACTGTTCATGTGAAAAATCGTGACCTCCCTCAATTCTTGGACTACAGTGCTGAAGTGTCGTTGAAAAAAGTTCTTTTATGCTGCTGCTGCTGCTTCGTGTCTATGAATAATTCAAATATTATTTGTCACAGCTCCCTTACATTCAATCGACAAACAAATTTAAGGGGTTGATATACGAACGGTGAAGAGAAGATAAAGTGAATACACTGGCAAAAAAAAGAATATCAAAATTCTTAAAGAATTGAATGACTAATCGGACGGCATGAATAATGCAGTTACTGTTATCGTTGTAAATTACGGCAATAAACTGGAGGAAAAGTGTCAGAACTTAAAATTAAGATACTGAAGTTTGATCGGAATTTCTATAATGACCAGGAAGAAAATACAGCATGGATATGAAGTACATCTACATTAGAATATCCAATAAGGTGATTACTGGCTTAAGAATAAAGACATAGAGAACAATCTCTTGTCATTTTAAGTCTAAATAAAATTCACCTTCAAACTTTTTGAAAATAGGAATCAGAAGTTCTTATACGTCCAGTAGAGACCACCGACTGCAAAAAGCATGTTCGATTTTACGATTAAGGACGACCGAAGTTTTTCTCAGCCCAGGACTGCCAACTCAGCCAATTATATTAAAACCAAAGTGCTCATACTTCAACAACCATAAACAAAAGCCTTTGCAACGTCTCATTTTTAACTTAAAAGCTACATACACATTTCCATACATACAATATTTTTGTCAAAGAATTTTTTTTTTGGAAATTTTCCTAAGATGCAACTACTTTCGATGCTTACTTCCTTTTTTGTAACAATCTTCTTTCACATGCTGAGTTACTCTTAAGAAGCAGCACCCCACATCTTGGCTATTAAAAGTCAGTATTTTTTGTATGTTTTTCCCCCCACTATCAACAGATGTCAACAGTTTGCATAGCTTAAGCGAATATCTTGGTTGGTTTAAGTGTGTATGTGTGTGTGTGCACAAGTACTTTCTTTGTTTGTTTGACAGCTTTTCTATTTTTTTTATGTTCTTGTATTTGCCTTTCATGTCATCTCTATTTGTTTGTCGCATTCAATTTTTAGAGGAACAAAAAGTAATATAAATTTTTTATATTTTTCTTCCTACCAAAAAGTACAAAAAAGTCAGCAGGAGAAGCTGAAGTAATTGCAAGTGAATGCTATGGAAGCAACTAACTGACTGCATGACTGGGGGTATTAAGGGCCAATATTTGAAGACAGAATGCTTCAGACACAGTATCCATATGAACATACATATGTATGCACTTTAATCGATATCAAACTTAAGACGGTAGGGAGCTTTAACCGAAGACAGGTCCAGGACCTATTCTCCGGAATCATTTGATATATAAAAGAAAATTTGTTGCTTGGCGACGTGCCGATGAAGGGCTTAGAAAAAAGTAAACTTTGTTTAAACATTTTCATAGATAGAATTTGAAACCAATAAGAGCTCAAACTTCCAGATTTTTACTGCTCGAGGTTGAAATCTCCAAAATACTAGAATATTTTTTCAACATTATACGGCGATATCTTAAAATGAATACTCATATTTTGTTTGGAGAATATCCACTGCTCAATAAGGCTTCAAAATTTGTAATTATAAGCGCTTTGGTTGGAAATTGTGTATTGGACCTACATCATATCTGAAGTCAGTGTGTACTCTACAAATAGATACAAGTTGCTGTCATTTAACCATATATGGAACAATACAAACATACATTTAAAATAATATACCTGCCATTATTGATAAGTTTATGGCAAATGGTCAAATTGTTACCTTTTTTGTAACAAAAAAAATATTGTGGGTGGAGCTTTGTACTTTTATGCTCAAATAAGAGATATTTTGCGAAGCTATCACTCTTGAATAGTTTAAAATTCACGCAACCATTTTTGAAGTAGACAAAAAGAAAGTAAAAAAGTCGGTTATGCCGACCGATGTATACCCTCAGCGCATATTTGTTGACAAGCGTTATTGTTATTTAAAATGTTGGTCCCTTATGGGGGAGGTTCCGAAAGAGTGAGTCAATAGTGCCCATTTTGTATCTGACCTAAATCAAATAAAAATATAACATATTACAAAGTTATATCTTCTTCGGGTGGTGAAGTACCAGAAAACTGGGCCAAAAAATTAACATCAGATCCCTGGTTGAAAGAAATATTTAAATATAACAAGTTTAAACAGAATCATTGACTTCTTTCACAAGTTATGAAAGACATAAGTACCGGACATGATATCGGGTGAGCCGATATCTATGATCTTCATATCAGATCATGCTTTAGTAGAAATGTTGGAATGTGTAAGATTTGAAGAGAATTGAATGCTTATTTCGCATTTTATGAGTTTTGTTATTATTCAAATTGTTGACCCTTTGTGGGGAAGGTACCGGAAGCAGTGGACCGATATATCCCATCTTCATACCAGAACTTGGGAAAATAAAAATATTATTATGTGTGTGATTTGAAGAAAAACCGATGTTTATTTCGGGTTTGATATCGTTTTGGTTATTCAAATTTTTGACCCTTTGTGGGGGAGGTATCAGAAGGAATGGTCCGATATCTACCATCTTTAAAATAGATCTTGTGCTGATGGAAATACTGTTATGTGCCAAGTTTGAATGAAATCATGAAGCTCATTTCGTGTTTTATGAGCTTAATAGATAGTCAAAATGTTGACCCTTTGTGATTGAGGTACCACAAGGAGTGGACCGATATATTCCATCTTCACACCAGACTTTGAAATAATAAAAATATTGTGATGTGTGTAATTTGAAGACGATCGGACTCTTACATCACATTTTATTTGAGTTATAATTATTCAAAATTTTGACCATTTATGGGAGAGGTACTTGATGGAGTGGACCGATATTGTCCATTTTCGCACCTGACCTAGAACTGATGCCAATATTAGAATTTGCAAGGTTGGAGCAAAAATGGAATATCCTTTCCCTTTCTGTGCAGTAAATAATTTTCTGTGAAAATGTTGACATTTTGTAGAGGAGGTACAATAAGGAGGGAACCAATATTGTCCGTCTCCGAACCCGATTTAGGTTTGATAATAATATTACGATGTTCCAAGTTTGGGCAGAATAGAATACTCCCTTCGAGCATTATGGTGCGCACCAGCCAGCCAGTAAGACAGACGGACGGCCATCTCTAGATCGACTCCAAATGCCCTGAAACGGATTTGGCCAAAAGCGACCTAAGGTTTAAATCCGTTATTTAGATGGTCACATTTTACCCGTATCAAATGATATATACCCTATATAGCCATATGGCTGAGGGTAAAAATGAGCTCAGTGCAAAACATAATCCGTAATTTCATTCCATGTTTAAAGCGTTTACCAGGCTCATTTCTACCTCGCTGGCTATAACATCAGGTTGGCTATAACAACAGGTTGTGTTGCCAACGATATGTTGTGTTTCAACACCTTATGATAATACGCCAGCTTCGACTCTAAACTTCGAAGATGGAATTCGTGAGGCTATCGTGGACAGAGAGCAACCACTTTTCATGACCTGAATATAAAAGCCATGAAAAAGACATAGACCTGTTAGTGCGATTATATTGGCCATTTAGTTGACACTAATTTTTCGTTATTAACGGCATTCCTTCCTCTAAACATACGATCATTTTTTCTAAAAAAATATCCGTTTGTCTATTTTGTCCTCACCCTTACATAGCCTTAATTGAAGGTACAGACTTTAACCTGACAATGTCCAATCTTTACGCAAAAAGATGACTATAGGGCTCAAGAAAGCAAGAATAATGATCTGGTACTTATCAAGTTTGTCTCGATGGTCCCTAAATTTTTTGGTTACTTTGGATTTAATATGGAAGAACATAAAAACACCTTAGACAAAGCCCAGTGGTCGAGATGTGTTGAACAACAAAAACGTTTGTGGTATCAATCTAAAGGTTAGATGATCTATTTTATTACATCCTTTCTTTGAAATATTCTATATCCAAGCAAGGATATTCGCAAAATACCATCCGCTCATAGATTCCCCTATACTGATAACACCAATCTTGTACAAAATTTGGATACGATCAAAATTGCGAACTGTAGCGTAATGACTCAAATTAGACTGCTTCGTAAATATGCAACAAACATGTCTAAATGTGTAACAGTTATCTGCGATATTTAATTATAAATATTATTTATAATGCACTTATTTCAAAAATAACTTACCTTTAAGTACTCTCCAATTGTCACTGGTTTCACTTGCCAACAGACTGCTTCGGATTACAAGTGTTTCTTTTTGTTGGAAACAGACGCGACGCACCCACTATCGCCAACTCAATAATTATTTTCTTGTATATTTTTATGTTAAAATCAAAATTGAGTTTCCGCCGTTTCTTAAGTTAAATAGAACAACAAAAACAATTCAATCTTCTGTATCGATTAAAATGTTTCATACACTTCAAAAATCAAGTTGTTTTTAGTTTCCTTTCCGATGCTGCTGCTGCAGAGTGTTGTAGGTTTGTGTGTATGTATGTCTGTAGGTATTATGGCAAATCAATCAACAAATGCTGTTTTGTTATTGTTTTTCTCTCTTCGTCATTTGGTGTGTTTCTGTTTTTTTTGTGGGGGGAGAGATATAAATAATGTTGTGTTGCTGTTGTCGTTGTTGTTTTTGCTCGCTGTGTTGTTAGATTTATATTATTCTTTTTCAATAAATATATGTGAATGGCAATATAATAAATTTTGATTTTCTTTTTCACGATTTTTTTCTTTAAGAAAGATTTTTATGCAATAACATTTGGCATTTCTTCGGCGGCATCTATTTGGGAGGCAACTGTGGAAGCAAATCTAGAAGAATTTCATTCTGAGCGATGAGTAATTATTATTGCTAGGCTATATGTACATAGATGGTTTGATTTCACTACTAACATCATCGTTTCGGCACTTTATAAAGCAAACATTTTGTTTTTCCACCGCGTAACTTGTTTAGTTTGGAACACTCACTTTGTCGCTACACTTTAATTTTGATCTCAAATAACATTTAAAACTATTTTTAGATCGATTTTTTAACAGAGGAAGAAAAAATATAAATCGTACAAAAAGAAAAACTCTGAAATATCTGACAGCTGTCATCTGCAATGGGCCGAGTGATGCCCATTAACTTTACAAGTGAGTAATGATTATCAAGTAATCACATGATAGGACATAGCAAAACAATGTGGCAATGTTAGTTTAACGGAAAAAGGAGAAATGTAAAGAAAAAGAATTCATTCATTTGAGTTTTGCCGCATTTATATTAAAAAAAGATTTTCAATAGATAGGACATTTTCTACATAACTTTTGTGTATACAAAACATTCTATTACCTTTGGCGCAATTTTCATTGATAAGAATACATAAAAAATCTTGTAAAGGCCTTCAGTACTTCATGTATCCATTTGAGCAAATAAGTGTTTTACCCTTTGGTTGGACTAAATCAACGATTATTCCAAAAAGGCATTTGATTAGAGAACACCTAAGAGTCTATTATAGCTTGGGATAAGACCTTGATTTGTATGGAAGACCGATAAGTTATAGCAATAGTGTTACATGGAAAAAGAGGTTCTTTTGACATGAAGAAAATTTAGAAAAAAATATAAACGTCTTTTATAGATGGGAAGCCTTCTACACAACGTTCTACGATATTGAAGAGAAACGTAGAAAAAATTTAATTTTGACGCGTTTAAAATTTATGGCGGACTGCAATCTTTGGTCTGCATTTTGCGAAGTTTAACCAAAAATTGCCTTTAATAATTCAATTACAGGGTGAGATAAAAATTGCAACAAAGTCAAACGCCATAATTTGTAATTTTTTTTAAATTTTTTTGAAAGATGGGAAATAGAATCAAATTTTAGGATAAGTTTAGATTTGTTCGCATTTGTCACCTTTGGCACGAATTATGGCTTCAAACCGCCTATGAAACCGTCACACGCTGCCCGAATGTTGCTCTGCGGTATTTCGGCCCATTCCCGGCGAAGCGCTTGCTTGAGGTGATCGATACTTTGGTATTTTTTAGTGCCAACCTTGCTTTCCAAAATAATCAAGACACAATAGTCCAATGGATTGGAATCTGGAGATTTTGGTGGTCATTGTGCGCTGGAAATGAAGCGAGGAACCTCATTTTGAAGCCATTCTTGGGTGTCGCGTGCTGAGTGCGATGGTGCGTAGTCCTGTTGGAATGTTCAAGGCCTGCGGCCAAAATGTTTGCGTGCTCAAGGCTTTTATACACCCTCCAAAATATTTTCGCGATAATATTCGGCATTTATGGCGGCCCATACCATCACCATGTTCGGCGCTTAAGGTCTGGTGGCCAACCGAAGGTGCACATTTTCATTCGATCATTTTGTTTGTGTGTCGTTTACAAACTGCTGGACAGCGAATGTTTTCTCATCGGAGAAAACCAAATACGGCAGTTCACCACTTTCTGCCAAGCGAAGCAGTTCTTTAGCTCTTTTGAGTCTATTTTCTTTCTATTGTGGTGTAAGTTCTTGCACTTTTTGGAATTTTAATGGCTTACCCCGAGCTCATTTTTCAATATTGCCGAATGGAATATTGCGGTATGTTCAGCTCACGAGTCATTCTTCGGCCACTGCGACGCGGGTTTCGATCAAGTCACTTCTTTACTTTTCGAACCATTTCTTCTGATGTTGCTGTTTTTTTCCGTCCACTTCCTTGACGTCGGGCTACTCTACCAGAATCACGGTAACGAGCGATGGTACGAGACACAAAAAATGTATTCACATTTAAATGCTGGAGTGGTCTAATGATAACCACTTGTGGTTTTCCAGCCAAATATAAAGAAATCACACTTTCACGCTTGAATTCCATCACGAATAACTTTTTTCTGGAAAATTCTCACCAAAAATGATTTGGTACGCTTGTAAACAATATAATGAGCTGCCAATGGAATAATTTTAATAGCTGTCGGAAATGGCAACAGTCTGAAGTTGGTTGCAGTTTTTCATCTCACCTTGTACCTTTCTAGCACTTTAAATTTCTCTAATTTAGCATTTCGAATCCAAAAACTGGAAAAACGTCATTGTATAATTTCATGTTTATATTTACAAAAAAGGATTTATAAAACAAAATATGATTTATAAATAACTATAAAATACATTTTATTATTACACTTGTAATAATATAACAATAAAAAACTATTTATTTCGGTCAAAATGCTTCATCTTGCTGTCCATTCAATGGTGTTGGCAATGGTATACCAGCATCTTGCATGTCCTTCATTATTTTCTTATTAATAATATTTTTAATATTCGCATTGACATCGGGCAACAGACCGCCACATCTGGCTGCATGTTCAATACGTTGAACTACATCGATTTCCCGTCTTGATGAAATCAGATTTGTTACCGTACAACGTTCCATATTTCCAACACGACCAATACGTCCACTGCGATGTATATAATCAGAAATATGGAGGGGAAAATCAAAATTTATAACATTTCGGGCACGTGTCGTGTCTAAACCACGACTACCAACATCCGTCGTAGAGAGAACATCACATTCGGCATTTTGGAATTGTTCAAAACGTCCCATGCGAATTTTCATTAACATATCACCGTTGAGATTTAGACAATTAACACCACTATTATTAAGGAATATTGAGACATAATCGCAGGTGGGAGTTTTGTTGGAGAATATTATAATGGGCCTTCGCAGAGCTACCTCTTTCTTGACAATACTCAAGAGATGGGCAGGTCTGTCCGCCTTGTTGACACGTAAAAATTTCTGCTCCACATGAGGCATTAGTTTGTGCAAATTTTCGCTGCTAACCTCTTCAATTGTTTGCACATCTATCACACGATGTAACAGTTCGCTGATATTTGTTGGCATTGTTGCGGAAGCCAAAACCAATTGGGTACCCACTTCAGTATCAGTTTGGGAACGGTTTTTATGAAACTAGAAAAGAAAAAACACATCACTTTTAGTATACTCATTAAGAACTAGAATAGTAAACTTACTGGAAATCTTTTCATAAAATGCACCAATTTATCGGAGAAACTATCGTCGAGTAATGTGTCCGCCTCATCCAAAACAACATGACGCACATGATCCATACGATAAATACCGGTTGTAACCAATTTACTCAAGGCACCCACAGAAGCCACCACAATATCAACATCATCAAACTCCGGATTCATCATTAGTCTCTTTGTATTGCCACCTAAAATGGTTTTTACTCGCACATCCATATCTGTGCATAGGTCTTTAGCCACATTACCAATCTGGGCAGCCAATTCTCGGCCAGGGGTTAAAATTATACAAAGTGGAGAATTCATTTTCCGTTGATTCGCTGCAGATTGCTTACGTTCGGCTATTCTTTGTATAATAGGTGTTAGGTAGCACAGCGTTTTCCCACATCCCGTCTCCGCGGCTATCAATGTATGATGATAATCGTAGATTTTAGGCCATCCTTGGCATTGTATGGAGGTCAACTGTTTAATATCTAATTCTTGTTTTAAATTTTCCAACAATTGATCCGCCATAGGCAACTGTGTTGTGGTCAGAAATGCATGTAGGTCTTGCATTTCTTTGGATTTCTCTTCTTCCGTAACTGTGGCATTTATGGTAAACCAATCACCTTTAGATTTCTTGTGCAACCATCCGGATGAAGCCAAGGGTATTGTCCCAAACTTACACTGGCCATCTTGAGGAACATACAAGTTGAAGTTCGGTCGTTTACATTGTATAATCGCTTGTCGTGTTTCCTTGCTTTTGCTCTTGGGCCGTGCATTCACAGCGGCATTTGTGGCAGCATACCGTTGAAGACAGGGTTTCTGTAGTGTTCTTGAGAATATTGTCAACATTTTTAATTCAACAATTCATTAATTAATAATAACTTAATTTTTTAATAGAAATGTGTTGAAACGAGGCTCCACCGGCGCAACGAAGCTCCGAGAAAAACAAATGTGAAGATTATTTAGATATGGCATCTCTGAAACGAAAAGTGGTATGAAGAATCAAAACAGAAGGAGCAATTAGGGCTCCTTAGATTAAAAACCATGCAATATGGCATCTGTAAAACGGAAGACGACATGGCAAAATATGAAATAGAGATATGGAATCAAAACAAAAGGACCGACGACGTTAGAGTTCTATAGATCGATAACTAGTGTTGATAACATATTCTGAATAGACGATAAGAAGAAGAATTTTACAGTTCTTTTCCGATTTCAAAGTTGAACTAATGACGGGAAAGTTGCTAAGTTGAAATACATCTTCAATATACATGTTTTATTAATTATTTTATTACTATAATGTCTAAATTTTTAATTCAACAGAGTCTTCACCGGCAACCTTAAGAAACAAAACGTGGAAATAATTTATCAATTATCCTTATCGAATATAAATAAAAACAAGTTCTATTCCAGATCTTGCAATAACCAACCCGTTTTCTAAATTGTTTGACATCATAAGTCCGAATTTATAATAGGCAAATTTCTGGCGCCAATTCTTTTTTTAACTTGTTTCTTGGATTTGCTCTGTTCCAGAACCTGCAAGAATCTACTCGTTTTGCAATTTTTCTCTATACCATAAAGGGAACATCGGTTATCATAGTACAAAGTTTAACATTCTTGCAGTTCTGGAACAGACCAATTTATGTCTTTTCTGTCATTTTAAATTATATTTTTGTATGCAAATAAAAACACAAAAAGGAATTGTCAGAATATTTGAGTACGAACATTTTTTTAAGGTTTTTTGTATTCTCACCTTCACTTTTGAGTGGAAACAAATCCAACAGGAAGGCAGCTAAATTTCGAAAACATGGAATAACTGAAAAATGAATGAAATGTCCAGATTTTCTTTCAGAAGCTGTTTCATTATTTATTTAAAAATTGTTTAAATTCTCCTTATAATGATTTTCGCCTGTTCATAGATGTATTTTTCATATTTAGTCAACACTATCTAATTATTATATTATGGTTCCAATTAGTTAGCATTTAGTTTGTTCCAGAAAATTTTTACTACCATAAACAATTTTCCCTTTATGACATGGAAAAAATTGCAAATCATGAAGATTCTAGCAGTTTCAGGAACAGAGCAATTATTAAATACAATTTTTAGGAATATTTGTTGTTGTTCTGAGGCTGCTGCGGAAGCCTTAAAGGCTAAAACGTTTCAAAGCCTTAATCGTAATTCGGCGTGAAAATATAATACTGCTACATTATGCTAGGAACACAATTGGAGCGAACGACGAATTTTTTCGCGGCGTATGTTCGTCGTCAAAAATAAAACACATATGTGTATATGGAAGTGCACACAATCACGGCACCGGCGAAAATTTCGTCGGTCGCCGCGAACTCAATTAGCTTTATTTCTATTTCATACGCCGGCGACCGGCGAACAAAACAGTACACGGTGGCCATACTTGTACGAATTTTATGTGTTTTAGTAAATAAAGTTACTTTTTACTTTAACATTTGTTATGGTCACTCTACTATCTGTTACTCGTATAAAAAAAAAAAACATAATTAATTTGTTTATTTATTTGTGTACTTGCGCCTGAGTGAAGATGGATATCAGTGAATTTATAATAGAGAAGATGGACATAAGTGAAATTATAATAGAGAACGTAAAGAATTATGTGTTCTTGTATAATTCATTGTAGTCAACAAATGAGCAAAAAGTAAACAACTTCATCAGCTGTTTTATAATTTCGTCGGTATTGTGTTCCATACGACGAATTTTCGCGGCTCATTTTGTCGCCGCGTAGGGCGAAATTCGTCGTTCGCTCCAATTGTGTTCCTAGCATTAGGTGGTTAGGTATAAAAATCAACAGCGTTACGATATAAGATTTAGTCTGCCATAATTAGTTTGGAGTGGCTCGAATAAAAAATATGCTCTATTCCAGAACCTGCAAGAATCTACTATTTTTGAATTTTTTTTTTTCGATACCATAAAAGGAAAATCGTTCGTCAAGGAAAAAAGTTTTACATTCTTGCAGTTCTGGAACAGACCATTATTAATGTATGCAATTTTCTTGTAACGATATAAATTTTTGTATGGCAAGTCTGGTGTATGCCGGGAATTATGTAGGACCGTAATATTGTATACACACGGTTATATTTCAATAGAAGCTGAAGGAAATAATCAAAGGAGAATGATGTTCGTACTCAGGTTACAAAATGTGTACCACACTTGAGTATTTTTTAAGACTATCGATATTGTTCGATGACATTTACTATAAATCGATATTAGCACATACACATATCGATATAATTGAGTGCGTCGTCAATTGTTTGTCAGCACTACTGCGTTGGCTTCTTTTCTTTTTCTAGCGTGTTTTGTCTGACACACACGTGTTTTACCGCTCTGATTGTCCTGCATACGTAAAAAAATATTCAATTTTACACCGATTTTATTCAATAAATATCACCAAAATGGCTGAAGTTACCGAACAACAACCCGAGAAAGTTGAAGAAGTTGCAAAGGAAACTCCTGCAGCAGAAACCACCGAAACACCGGCCGATAATGGTTCCACTGACGCCACCGCTGCCGCCGCCGCTGCAACTGAGGAAAGTTCTTCGGATTTGGAAAAGAAAATCATGAGACAAGTTGAATATTATTTTGGTGATGCCAATTTGAATCGCGATAAATTTTTGCAAGATCAAATTGCCAAGGACACAGACGGTTGGGTGCCAATTTCCGTGTTGTTGACTTTCAAGCGTTTGGCTTCCTTGAGTTCCGATGCCAACGTTATTGCTGAAGCTTGTGCCAAGTCAGACGAGGGTTTGGTTGAGGTCAGTGAAGACAAGAGCAAAATCAGACGCCATCCTGAAAGACCATTGCCCGAACATAATGAAGAGAGACGCAAGGACATAATGTCACGTACAGCATATGCCAAGGGTTTCCCATTGGACTCGACAATGGATTTACTTTTGGACTACTTTGCCGCCTTCGAAAAGGTTGTACACATCAACATGCGCAAGTATTTGGATAAGCCCACCAAAACCTACAAGTTCAAGGGTAGTGTGTTTGTCACATTCGAAAAGAAGGAACAGGCTGAGGAGTTCATTGAAAAGGCACAGGTATGTAGATGACATGTGGGTGGTAACTGTACTTAGTATGGATATTAATGGTTTGATTTATTGTTTACAGCCCAAATACAAGGATACCCAATTGATTGTCAAATGGCAAGAAAAATACATTGAGGAAAAACGTGAGGAACAAAAGGCCAAAACCAACAAAAAGAAAGAGAAGAAGGAAAAGGAAGAAGAATCCAAGATTAATTTGCCCAAGCGTTCTGTGTTCTTCTTCGAAGGTGCCAAAGATGATCTTTCACGTGAAGCTATCAAGGAAGCCATACAAAAGGTGTCCAGTGATTGGGAAATTGCCTATGTTGAATACAACAAGGGTGATAAGTCTGGTCATGTTAGATTCCATGAAGAAGATTCTGCTGTTAAATTCCTAGAGAAATTGGAAGATAAGAAGGTACAGTAACAAGAAATGTGGGATTTCACAATAAATATTATAATTTCTATTTTTTTTCTTTTACAGTTGAAAATCAATGATGATCTTACCCTTGAAGTACGCACCCTCAGCGAAGAAGAAGAAACTGCCTTCCTCGAAAAGGCCGTTGAAAACATGAAGAATCGTCGCAATCATTTCAACCAAAAGAAAGGTGGTTTCAATCGCAAACGTCGTGGTGGCCACAATGATCGCAATGATGAAAAGAAAGCCAAGGCCAGCGATGAATAAATGTGCAAATGCAACACATGCCAAAGGGCGGCAGCAGTGGTGGCGATGTTTATATTTATTTTCCTCCCTTTAGTTAGATCTTATTTACATATATATATATATTATATACAAACAACACATACCCATAGATATATAACAAACCATTATTACATTAAGTAATATACCTATATAGTTTGTTGTTTTCAACTTCTCTCCAGTTCTCTTTTGAACTCTCTTAAATCATATGTAACTATAAAATTATGTTGTATGAATTTTGGCTCATGCTAAGAAAGAATGATTTAAAGTTGTATAAAACGATTATATCTATAACAAACGCGATTGACTGTTTTACGTTTTCAAAAGAAAACAAATATTTTTTTTTATCTAAAGATTATGATTATCAACAAAGAACTTTTTCATGTATTTTTTAAAAAAATGAGAAAGATTATAATTAACTTACAAATATAAAAAACAACTACTACTAAAAAAATTATTTGCTTGTTTTTAAAAAAAGGTGTATCGGTAAGTAGTCCCCCGGCCCCAATGCATTTCTTTGTTTGGTTTTAACACGCAAAGGGAAACAATTCAGGACCGTAAAGATCTGCGCTTGATGATCTTCTTAAAGTCATGCAGAAGATTTGCTAGCTTCGTCCATATGATAGGCAGGTTTAATATCTCAAGCCAGAGGCGAACGTTATATAAATTGGTTAAAATCTATACACATGGATTAAATTGGTTCGGATGTAGACATACATACATTATGTTCTATCCAATTTTCACACCAGTGTATAGGAGTATAAAAGTATTTCTTACAAACACCTAATGAGTTGCATTTTTACCCACAATCAGATACACTTTTCAGTAGAGATGAGGAAATGTATTGCCAAATTTAAGTCACAGTTATTCGTATATCTTAAAAAATATTTTCAATAAATCTTCCATGAAAAGCGCGTCCCATTTCAATCAGAAAAAGTCAATCCTCGCAAACATTTTTTTTTAATTTTCAATTGTGGTTTTAACCGATTTATTTATTCCTTTTTCTTTCAAGATTATTATATTGCTTACTTATATATTTTTTTTGTTACATCTATTATTTATATGTATATTATTATATAATATTTACTCACATTTTTGTATTCAACAATTCATATTCATTTTCAGTTTTTTGTTATTTGTTTTAGGTTATGTATAACATTATTTTTTTATTTCGAATTAAGGTTAGTTTAAATGTTTGATTTATATTGTTTATCATGTTGTTAACTTAAAATATTTTGTGTTTTTTCGTTATTTATATAACATTAATTGTAAATATAACAACAAACATACATATATGTGTGTCTGTAGTTTTTCGAAATTCGAGAGGTGGTTTGAAAACATAAATTTTAATAAATGCATAATTTACAGAATAAACGCAACGAATCTTTTAATTGTGAACTAATTAGAGGCAATTTACAGAAATTAAGCTAAAACTCTCGTTAAAAAGGGGCAAAAAATGAATTTTTAAAAAAGTGAGGTTATCATTGGAAATTAAAAAAAATCTACATGATTTCAAAGAATCAGAATCCAAAAAAATATTTTTATTGATACTTATGACTTCAAAATAGATTAAATGTATTTTTGTAAAATACTGATTTTTGAAAAATGCTTTAAAAAATGTTTTTTTTAAAATTCATGTTTCTTGCCAAGAATTCCTTGAAAAAACATTTAAAAAAAGTTAAAAAAATAAAAATTTTAATGAATGGGAATAGGAAAGAGGAAAAATATTTAAAAAAATACACGGCTTTGGGTCAAGAGAAACATTTTTAAATATCCAACAAAAATATTAAAAAAATCCTCGGATTAAAGCAAAAAAAAAAAAAAAAAAACCAAATGTCAAATATCCTCGCTATAGGCCAAGAAAATTTTTTGTTTTAAAAATATTTTTAAAAAATCCCGCTTAATCCAAAAAAAAAGAAAAATATTTAAAAACTTCCAAAAAATATTTACATTATATCTAAGGTGAAATATTTTAAAAAATCCAGTTTTGGGGCAAGAGACAAAAAAAAACAATGCTTCAGACTTGAATTAAAAAACAGATATTTTAAAAAAAACTCAACTTAGGCTTTGAAAAAATATTTTTTTTTAAAAACCAACGTCTCTCGTCAGGGAAGGCTTTGAAAAATTATTTTAAAAAAATCCACATCTAAGGCTTTCCATGTTTCTGGCCAAGGTAGGCTTTGAAAAAAATCACTTTTCTGGCCGAAAATATTAAAAATCAGGTTTCAGGCGTTGAAAAAATAGTTTTTTTTTTTTTTTAAATCAACCGCCGCTTCTGGCTCAGTTGCACCTTGAAAAAATATATTTTTTTAAACCACGTTTAGCCTCGGATCTTAAAACAAAAAAATAATTTTAAAAATCTACGTTTCAGCTTGGTTTAACTTTAAAAAAATATTTGTAAAAAATCCATTTTTCTAAAAAAAAAAAACATATTTAAAGAAAAATTAACGATTCTGCTGAATTGGGCCTTGAAAAAATATTAAAAAGGTCTCCGGTTACAAATGTGTGTCTTCAGAAAATATTAATTTATTTAAAAGCTTGCATTCTTAGCACAGATTTACCGTAAAAAATAAAAAAAAATAATTTAACCAAATAAGTAAAAAAAAAAAATAATTAAAAAAACTATATTTATTTTGATTGAATGAGTCTTGGATATAACCAAGTAGGCCTTAAAAATATCCTCTATTGTACCGTAGAAGGCACATGTAGGCTTTAATAAATACAATTGTTAAATTCCACGATGGCTAATACATGTCTTGAAGAAACGTTTCAACGAAATATTAAGCTCGCCTATAAAGGTAGCCTTCAGAACGACGATGAGGATAGCCCTCGAATGCCTATAATGGAAGCCCTCAGATCGGCCAAAAGTAAAACCTGAGGCTATAAAATCCTATAATGAAAGCCTTCAGACAGCCATCAGCTCGCCTATAAAAATTGCTTTCAGAACGACGATACGGAACCCCTCAGTCCCTCTATAAAGATAGTCTGTAGAACGTTGGTAAAGGAAGCTCTCTGGTAGCCTTTAGCTTGGCTTTATTACAGCCATAAGCTCGCCTATAATGACAGTCTTGAGCTCGCATATAAGGGTTAATGGCTTTGAAAAGATTTTTTTAAATCCTCATTTCTGGGCCAGAAATTTAAAACTCGATATATTTTTAAAATATCCACATTTTAGGTTTTGAAAAAATATTTTTTAAAAAAACCACATCTTATTTTCTTAATTCCGTTTTTTTTTTCATTTTTGACCAAGGTAAGCTTTAAAAAAAATTAAAATAAAACACGATTCTGGTTCATTGAACGTGGAAAAATGTTTTTGAAAAATCTACTTTAGCGAGCCTTCAGCTCGCCTATAAAGATAGACTTCATCTCGCATATAAAGATAGACTTCAGCTCGCCTATAAGAATAGGTTTCGGCTCGCCTATAAAGATAGACTTCAGGTCGTCTATAAAGGTAGACTTCAGGTCGTCTATAAAGGTAGACTTCAGGTCGGCTATAAAGATAGACTTCAGGTCGTCTATAAAGGTAGACTTCAGGTCGTCTATAAAGATAGACTTCAGGTCGTCTATAAAGGTAGACTTCAGGTCGACTATAAAGATAGCCTTCAGCTCGCCCATAAGATATTCTTCAGCTCGCCTATAAAAATATCCTTCAGCTCGCCTATAAAGATAGCATTCAGCTCGCCTTAATGATAGTCTTCTGCTCGCCCTGAACATAGATTTCAGCTCGCCAAAAAGGTACACGTCTATAAGGATTTCAGGCTTTGAAAAGATTTTTTAAAAAAATCCTCATTTCTTGCTAAGAAATTAGAGAAACCTTTCAAAAAAAGGTTTGAAAAATATTTTTAAAGAATCGACGTTTCTGACCTAGGTAGGTTTTGAAAATTGAATATTGAACCTGGAAAAATGTTTATAAAAAATCCGCTTCAGTGAGCCTTCTCTATAAAGATAGCTTTCAGCTCGTCTATAAAGATAATCATCAGCTTGCTTTACTGACAGCCTTTAGCTCGCCCCTGAACATAGATTTCAGCTCGCCAAAAAGGTGCACTTCAGCTCGTCAATAAAGAAAGCCCTTAAGGTCGCACAAAGATTTCAGACTAATAAAATAGCTTTTAGGTAGCATTTAAAGAGAGCCTTCAGCTTGGCTAGAACGAAAGCCTTCCGCCTGCAAATAAAAATGGCCTCCAAGTCTCACTTACTAGATTATCTTCGGCTTAATTAGGAAGAATCATTTCATCTCTCCTATAGAAACTAATTTTTGCTCGTTTATGAATACTTTTTCAAATCCATTATTTTTGTTTGCGCACTGAACATGTTTTTGTCCCATTGTAAAACAAATAAAAAAGTGTATAATTTATTGTTTTTAATTTTATTATTTTTTTCAAATTTCTTTGTTTGTTTTTTCTTTAAACTACACAAAACGAAAACATTAGGAATGTTTATAAAAGAAAAATTAAATGAGAGTTTCTATTATTAATTGTAGTTTTACTTAAAAAAAAGGATTAATAAAGAAACCTAAAAATATATGTATATTATTGTTATGCCCAAGAAAAAAAACTATGTATAAGACTTATAAATTAAATGAAAGTTTAATGAAATAAATTAAAACGAGAGAGAGGATAGTAAAACAAAACAAAAAAGATTGAATTCGAAAAGTCAGCACTTAAACGGCCAACTTATTCACTGGGTATTTTAAATGTTGTTGTTGTTATTTTATGTATATGAAGGGGGGGGGGGGAGGTGTAGAGATGAAGAGTGGGCGGTTTGGGATGAGTATGAGAGTCTTATAAATAGAAGTTTGTTATATTTTGTTTTCTTCTGTTTCTTGTGTTTTGCTCAACAATGCCTAATGTTTTTTGTTATTGTTGTAATGATAATAGTTGTAATAGTACATATATGTATATAGAATAAATATAGCCTAACTTTAAGTATAAAAACTTAAATTAATTAAATTAGATCAAGTTTTAAGGTTTGTTTGTTCTTTTTTTTGTTGATAATAAGAAATCGAAAAACAATCATTTGCAATAAAAAAATATAAGAACATAAACAAAATTGATTTCTTCATACAAAACATGTTAGGGTTTGCTAATTTTAGTTAGTCCTTATGATTTCAAACAAAAAAAAATGTAACAAAAATTTAAGGGAAAAAATAAATGTTGGGTATATTTTCACTTAACCCGAATACGAAAACAAATAAATCAATATTTCTTGGGTGGGGGAGTAAAGTATACAATATTTTGTGTGGGTTAGATTAGTTTTCATGGAGTTTGGGACACAATGCCCCAAAATTGCCACAATATTTTTTTAAACACAAATAGTTTTTTTTTCTTTTCGTAAACAAAAATGTGCGTTAAAGCGTTAATTCAAGTCAAATTTTGTTTTTAGGACACTGCACACATAGGAAACAAAATCAAGCAACATAAATACAAATTGGATTTTTTTCCATTGATATGAATGAATTCGAAAATCTCAATACAAATACAAAACCAAAAATTATGGAAACAATTAAAGCGATAAGATTGAAATCTTTTTAGTCATTTGATTTAAATGTTTTCGTTTTATAACTTTTTTCAATTCTTCTTTGTTTTCTTCGTTTTTGGGATTCAAATATTTAACAATGTACTTTTGGTAAACAAAAGAAAAAAGTTAACATATTTTGTTTTTGTTTTCAAACACTAAAGTACATTACAATAACATTACATTGTTGTTGTTGTTGCTGTTCTTGTTACAGATGTTTCATTAAATACATTTAACATTTAAAATAAAAATAACTCAAGACCTTGGAAAACATAGAAAAACAAATTCACTTAGTTTACACTGAGGTTCCCAATGGGAAATCATTTTGTTTTTTTCGTTTCTACTCCTTTGTAAAGCTAACTCCGTTATTTGTTAACTTTTCTATTCAGCCAGCCAGCCCATAGTCCAAAAAAGTTTAAGTTCAAAACTTTTGCTTTGCTTAACCATATCTCTTTTTTCATCTTATGCTATGGCTTAATATTCTATTTTCCAGCTTCTTGTTTTTTCTCTTGCTGTCCTAATGCTTAGTTTCATCTCTTCACTTCCACACCGGAGACAGATCCAATGTTAGATTTTTTATAGCTCGATTACGAGCTGAAGAGCGTTTCTGTTTGGCTGACCGTGAAATTTCCATAACCAAACCGCGACAGTCATTGCACACGGGCACCAATTCACCGCGCACATTGTCCTTTTGATCTTGGCTCAGCTGGGTGCCGGACGATGAAAGGGTATAGGCCCGAGAGAATTTACTTCTGAAAGGCAAAGAAAAAAAAAATAAATCAATTAATAAACAAACAAATAAATAAATAATATTAATAGAAGTTATTAAAATAATAAAAACAATTGAAGGACAATAATTCAGTTTCGTCCATAAAACTCCATTTTCCGCTTCAATTAGAAATTTTAATTGAAATGTCATTATGGTACTCCACATCGACTTTCTATCAATTGTCTACATAGCTTTTCCCCGGGTCTTTGATGTTCACACATTTTAGAACGTCAGTAAAATCCCATTTTTTGGACTTTCACAGAGTCGGGACTTTCTCTATCTTCTGGGGCACTTTTTTGATCCTAAATAAAACTACTTTTTGTCAATTTTAAAGAGTTCATTAAGGTTGTCTCTCTTTCGTATAAAACTACTCTTTGAAGCTTTAATAAGACTCTCTTTTGGCGACCTATAAAAAAAGACTTTAGGAAGCCTATAGAGGCTATCCTATGACAATTTTGGTGGTTTAACAATATTCTAAACCGCTCATATAAAACTTATCGTTGACGCATTATTAGCATCTTCTTAGGTGGTTTAAAAAATATTTCAAACCGGTCTCTTTGACGTATTAATAAGTCCCTTCTCTGATGGGCTATTAAAAAGACTTCAGTAGGCCTATAGAAACTATTCTATGACAATTTCTGGTGGTCTAAAAATATTCCAAACCATTAGTATTTGACGCTTTATCAACACTCTTTTCTGGCGGCCTACAAAAAAAAAGACTTCAGATCACATATAGAGACTATTCCACGACAATTTTGGTGGTTTAAAAATATTCTAAATCGGTCGTATGAAACTTTGGTGTTTTTTAATGTGGTTTAAAAAATATTCCAAATCGGTCGTATAAAACTTTACTTTGAAACTTGAATAAGACTCTTCTCTAACAGCCTATCAAAAAGACATAACATCGCCTATGACTACTTTGGTGGTCTACAAATACTCTAAACCGGTCGTATAAAAGTAATAGTAACAAAAAAGGATCTATCTAGTTCGACAATCTAGATTGCCTTTATATCGCTCATAACGTCTACCTTTAGATTTTCTACATAGTCTGCTTTCAGGTAGTATGTAAAGGTTATATGCTGTTAGTTTGAGATAACTGTCTTCAGTTGGTCTGAAAATGTCTTCAGGTCGTCTGTGAATACTGCCTTCAGATTTCCTATAAAAATTTGCTCAGCGGGCTTATAAAAACTGCCTTCAGGTGGAAGATTGCCCCCAAGTAGTCTTTAGGCATTGGCCAGACTAGCCGTTGATCTAAAAGCCTTCTTCAGCTGGACTCTAAAGGCTGCTTAAACTGGTCTCTAAAGACTGCTCTTTTTGATTTATAAAAGAAACTGTCACGTTTATGAATATTGCCTTCAGTAGGGATATAAAGAAGCTCTTAAAGACACAAAGACAGCTTTCAATTTGTTCCGAAACACAGTATTCATCTGTTCTAAAAAGGGTGTCTTCAACTGTCATATTTGCTTCAAGATGACATGTCGTTGTCTTAGAGATCTCCACTGATAATTAAAGCTCTTATTTTCGCCCATAATATCAATATATTCTTATCCAAATACTGAAGACTGTTCGCCTTCCTTCAACTGTCCTATTTGCTTAAAGATGATATGTCACAGCCTTTAATATTCCCACTGATAGTTTTTAAAGCTCTTATTTTTCGCCCTTGATATCAATTTATTCCTATCCAAATACCGAGTACTGTTCGTCATTATATACTCCCTCCTGGGCGTCTACAAAAAATCATGTTCGACAGTTTATAGTCTTTATTGTGGTAGCTTACATGATCCCCTTCTTTTAAGCCATCAATAATGAATTTATTCTGGCTGCCAGAAATTAAATTTTCTGGTGGTATATATAGACTTGGGGACACTAAGAAATATATCCTTTGGACCCTCATCAAAAATCAGGGATTTGAACATAATATCACACTCCTTCCTGGTCATCTATAGAAAATCCTATCTGTGATAGCTCTCAGAGGTCCCTATCTGGTCATCTTTAAGACTTATTTTAGACCAGCAATAAGACTTTATTCTAGCTATTAGAAAATTATATTTTCCAATGGTATAAATAGACTTTGCGATATTTAGAAATATATATTCTTTGGACCCTCCAAAAATATAAGATTCATAGGTTTGATAACATGTCCACACTCCTTCCTGTTTATCAATAAAAAATCATTTTTAATTACAATCTCCATTGTGATAGGTTTTAGAAGCCCCCATCTGGTCATCATCGAGTCTCCCTTTATACCAGCAATAATGTCTTTCTTTTGTTTTATTTTCCGATGGTATAAACAGACTTCGGGACGTTGAAGAAATATATCCTTTACACTCTCTAAAAATATAAATTCCGAGGATTGAGATGTGTTCATACTTGTTCCTGGTCATCTACAAAAAGTCATTTTTACAATCTCCATTGTAATAGCTTTCAGAGGCTCCCATCTGCTCATCTTTGAGGTTCCCTTAGGCCAGCAATAACGACTTTATTATGGCTGCCAAAAATGTATATTTTCTGGGAATTTCTAGGAATTTTTTCCTTGGACCCTCTAACAATAAATGAGAAGCCCATCTGGTCATCTAAGATATTCCCTTTTGGTTATCTTGTGGCCTACAGGACGCTTAGACAAATTTTTCTTGAGTCCTTCAAAAAGTCTCCCTTTGATGTCCCTTTTGACTTCCTATAAGACGCCCTTCTTCATGTCAGTGAGTACATCCTTCTGTCTTCGTTCCTTTAAATCTTTTGTAATATCCTTAACTACACTAAATTTCTTTCATCCATTCCACTTACTTCCGATCCAATGTACTGCTATTCGAATGCGGTCTCGATGCTGGACTATGTACTGGCAAACTACGTGGTCCTTCCATGCTACGTGACATTATGCTAAAGTGACGATTGTTGGTGGCTTGATTCTCTTTACCACTGCAACCGCTGCTGTTATACTGAATACCATTGGCTATGGCCATGGAGGCATAATGATGCTGGGGATGATATGATTGCTGGTGTTGATACGGGTGCTGCTGATGATGGTAGTGGGTGCCAGCCGTATATGATGTGGTCATGGTGGAAGATGTATCGTGTATAGCCTCGACTGCATGACCTGCAGCAGCAGCAGCAACAACGTCAACACCGGAGCCACCGCCGGCCATGATGCCAGGGGTGCTCATGTTGGATCTTTGGTGTTTGGGGGATGATGGTGCACTGCCCACCGAGTTGCGGGCCTGGGAGGGAGAGAGAGATTTTCATTAATAATGTTCATAAGATGTTTAGAATATAAAAACTTACCTTACGCTGAGCCTCTGAACCCATTAGCTTCTCAATTAGGGACTTTGGAAATTGTTCATCCAAAATATTGCCCGTTGACGAGGAATGGGCATAGCGAGCATGATGCGATGGTGAGGGTGTGCTCGAACCAGCGGGACTTGCTAACAATGAGGGTGAGATTAGCACAAGTGGAACATTGCGAAAATGTTCCGAAGGGATGCGCATCTAAAAAGAGGGAAGAAAATTACAAATTTATTTAATATTTTAGGTTAAGGGATGTGTGGGGCACTAACTTTGGTATAACATTTGGAACACACGGTACGCTGGCATATCTTACACTGAATACCCCAGGGTCCGAATATTGAGAATCGTGTACGCAGACAGAGAAAGCAAATTTTTCGCTTTTCGACATCCTCCTTGACCCGTATACCAACGGGAAGGCCCTCCAATTCGGCCTTCGTCATAACCGAACGAATGTGGACAATCTCCTCCAGGGTCAGTGAGAGGCGATCGTCACCACGTTCATTCCAGGTTTTTTCATCCATAAAGGATTTGTTCCACGGGCCTAACGAGGATGACGAACGACTATCGCTGCGATTATTCTGCTCATCCTCTTCCTCCTCCGGCACATGGTTGGGGCTTTGGGGTCTCTTTAGCTGCTGCTGCTGTTGTTGTTGGCTTTCTTGCTGTTGATTGTAGTCATTGTGTAGCTAAAAGTGGAGGGGAATGTGGCATTAAGACATTTTGGAATATTTTGGGTGTTTGACTGGCTCACCTGTTTGGCTGCGCTCACACTATCACCGGCTCCAACAGTTGTGTTATGTACATCGGATTGCCTTGATCCAGGCCTTGATGTGGGCATTGAATGTGTCTCATCCAAATTGCTTTGGCATCCCACAATGGTATGTCTCCGCTGAGATGCCCGCCTCGATTCACACTGGGTGGCCAGATCATAGGCTATAATGGGACGAAAAAAAAAAAATTTTGAAATTTTACTGAAGGAGTCTTGATTATTTTTTGTTTTCAAATTTTTGTGTTTTGGAATTGTGGTGCTTTATGTAGGTTTAGTATTGGAAATGTTGTTATTGCAATTATGTTTGAAAGCTTCAATTTGAGTGCAGATTATCAGATGCTGTTATGGCGAATTGCGGGCTTCATTTCTTTTGAGACTTTTTTTACCGAAACCCAACCCTGTGGGTTTTGACAAATCATTTTGGTGACTCTGTCCTTCGTAAAGTCCTCTTATTCTACATCCACAAAGGTCCTCCCTCTGTCGCCCATAAAGTCTTTTCCCTTGCCAGTAAATATTCCATTCTTGACTCTAAGACTTCGATCAGTTTTAATTTTTTGGACACTAATCCACTTTTCTATCGACCTTTAAAGTCTATATCCTGATCGTCAAAAGAAACCCGAATCTAAAGGTCAATAAAGACTTCTCACTCAGACTTCTCCCAATGATTCAGGTCGTCAGTAAAGATACCATCCCCCAGGTCCCCCAAGTCCACCATAAATTTTCTTCTCCATTTTTCTAAATAACCCAATTTCTTTGATGTTTATCTTCTACTCTCGCCTCCCGTCTGTCTCTCTCTCTCTCTCAAAACCTATAACTTCTCTTCAACCCACCATTCCGAGGTACCAGACATCTGAAATTTTAAACAAAGCCATGAAGCCACAAAATAATGTTTTTTTTTTTTTAAAAAAGAACATGCATGGAATTGAGGTTATGTTCGAAGCAAGAAAATAAGCGATATGTTATCCTTTGTTAGCCTTTCATTAGTATGCAGAATATGTTCAAATATTTACAAGGTTCAGTTTTAAAAATGGAAATAAATACAAATAAAATTTGGAAAAACACAAGAGAAAAATGAAACAAAGAACACAATGACCAATGAAAAGCGAGCCAGGCGAGCAAACAAATTAAGCAAGGCGACGATGACCTAAAATGACCACCCGAAAATTTTTTTTTTTTTTTTTTTGGAAATGAAAATAGAAAAATGCACAAAGGACCATGTATACATATACATATATACAAATGTGTGAGTATGTGTGTGTGTGTGAAAAATTGATTTGATATGTTTTTCGTTTTCAGGCAGAAAATGAAAGCTCCAAAGAAAGGAAAAAACTATGAAAAGGAGTGTGGTTAGGTGTAAGTGATTTCTTTATATATGGCACAAATATGTTATTGTGTGTGTGTAAGTGTGATTGGGAGAGTGTGAAAGGTAAATAGACAGACACATGGGGGAGGGGGGTTGGTGGTCAAGCAGGCATATGAACAGTTTTTTGTTGACTGAGTTTTATCTGAAGAAAACCTATGACAACACAACGAACGATAGCTACAGCGACTGTTGATGTGACAGTGAAGTTGCTTTTAATATGTATGAATGGAGTTTTGAAAACGTACATATGTATATGGGTAATTTCAAATCACAAAACATCAAATCTGACAAACCAAGCGAAGATATTTTGATCGCCAATTAAAAAAACTTCCATATTCCATTCAAAAACAATGAAGACGACATTCAATACCTTTAGAGAGATTAAATTTGCACGTTCGGAAAAAAATACTTTCACCTCGTCAAGAGACTTTTTTCACCATATTCGGAAAGACTTTTTCAGACCATCTAGAAACACTACCTTTTACTCTGTTTTAAAAGTAAATTACAGTTTGTCTTAAAGCCTCATATACTGCCGGTCTTAAAAGCTCTAAAAATATTCAACTCGTCTTAAAGCTGGAACCTAATATTTTTTTATAAAGACTCCTCCCAGTTCGCATATAGGAATATTGTGATAATATCATTTGATCTTCTATGAGACAAGCTCATCTGGTCTTTCGTGAGAAAATATCATCTTGTTTTTTTGTGAGAGAATACCATATATTCTGCTCTTCTACGAGAGAAGACCCCCTGGTCTTTTATGGGAGAAGGCCAATTGGTCTTCTTTGAGAAAAGGCCATCTGCTCTTCTATGAGAGAAGACCATCTGTTCTTCTATGAGAGAAGACCATCTGCTCTTCTATGAGAGAAGACCATCTGCTCTTCTATGAGAGAAGACCATCTGCTTTTCTATAAGAGAAGGCCACATGGTCTTCTATGAGAGAAGACCACATGGTCTTCTATGAGAGAAGACCACAGGTCTTCTATGAGAGAAGACCACATAGTCTTCTATGAGAGAAGACCACATGGTCTTCTATGAGAAAACACAATCTGGTCTACTATGAGAAAACCAAATCTGGTCTTCTATGAGAAAGTAGAACCAGGTCTTCTATGAGAAAAGATCAACTAGTCTTCTCTGAGAAAAGACCTCCTGGTCTCCTATGAGAGAAAATCAACTGGTCTTCTTTGAGAGAACACTACTTGGTCTTTCATGAGAGAAGACCACCAGGTCTTCTACGAGAGAAGACCACCAGGTCTTCTATGAGAGAAGACAACAACTCCTCTGTAAAGACTAACCTCAGCTTATCTATACATACTCCTCACAGCTTGTCTATAGAGACTTAATTCAGCTCGTCTATAAGGACTCCTGCCAACTCGTCTACAAAGACCCGTTTTAGCTTAGATCGTTTATAGAGACTCATCTCAAATCGTCTATTAATACTCCTTTCGGCACGTATATAAAGACTCCCCTCAGATTGTCCATGAAGTCTCCATCAATTCGTTTATAAAGACTCCCCTCAGCATGTCCCCTTAGTTCGTCTACAAAAGCTCCACTTCTCAGCCAGTCTACAGAGACTCCCTCCAGCTCGCCTAGATAGACTCGCTTCAATTCGTCAGAAAGACTTCCAACCGTTAGATTCCAGCTCCCATCGGTTAACCAAGAGTGCCAGCTTTAAGCTTGAAAAAAGCTTCCTTCAGCTCCCATAAAAGACCCACTACAGAGACTCTCTCCAGCTCGCCTAGATAGACTCTCTTTAATTCGTCAGAGAGACTTTCAACCTCTAACTTAAGAAGTCAGCCTCAAGCTTCCATCAGTTGGCCAAGAGTGTAACTTATAGCTTGTTGAAAAAAAAAAACGTCCTTCAGCTCGCATAAAAGACCCCCTACAGAGACTCCCTTCACTTCGCCTAGATAGACTCTCTATAATTCGTCAGAGAGACTTCCAACCGCTAGCCTAGGAAATTAGCCTCCAGCTCCCATCAGTTGGCCAAGAGTGTCAGATTTTAGCTTATCGAAAAAAAAATTCTAAAGCTCGCATAAAAGCTCAAGCCTCCGCTTGTCCCCTCAGTTCGTCTATAAAAGCTCCACATCTCAGTCTGTCTACAGAGACTCCCTTAAGCTCGCCTAGAGAGACTCTCTTCAATTCGTCAGAGAGACTTCCAACTGTTAGCTTCCAGCTCCCATCAGTTGGCCTAGAATGTCAGCTTTAAGCTTGTCGAAAAAAACTTCCTTCAGCTCTAATAATAGACTCCTTTTCTTTAATTTTTCAGAGAGACTTGCAACCGCTAGCCTAGGAAATTAGCCTCCAGCTCTCATGAGTTGGCCAAGAGTGTCAGCTTTTAGCTTGTCGCAAAAAAACTTCCTTCAGCTCGCATAAAAGACCCTCTACAGAGTCTGCCTTCAGCTCGCCTAGATAGACTCTCTATAATTCGTCAGAGAGACTTCCAACCGCTAGCCTGAGAAGTCAGCCTTCAGCTCCCATCAGTCGGCCAAGAGTGTAAGCTTATAGCTTGTCGAAAGAAAAACTTCCTTGAGCTCGCATTAAAGACCCCGTATAGAGACAAACTTCAGCTCGCCTAGATAAACTCTCTATAATTCGTGAGAGAGACTTCCAACCGGTAGCCTAGGAAGTGAGTCTTCAGCTCCCAGCACTCCTAAAGAGATTATCTTTAGCTCACCTAGAAAGTCAGTCTTAAGCTCGCCCGGAGGTAATTCGTTTGTTCAGCAAGAGAAACACCCAGCTGCTGGCCCAGAATGTCAGCTGTGTTTTCAACTAGCCTATAGAGACAGACTACAGAGACCCGGTTTATAAAGACTTCGTTTTTTGAGATCTTATAAAAAGATAATGTCTCAGTCCGTCTTTAAAACGGACTCTCTTTTTCAACTTGACTAGAAAACTACCCTCTCTCTGTGTTTCTCTCTCTATAAAAGGAATCTTTGTTTTAGCTCTTCAGCCTGTTTAGAAATTGGAATTTACTCTATGACCTCGGTGGCGTATGACTGCTGTCATTAATCATACACCATGACTATAACTCCTTGATTTTTTAGTAAATAAATTTCAACGAAAATCCTACGTTTTGAAGATAAAATAACTCTTGGAATTTGCTCTTCAGCTGCTTTAAAATTAGAATTTCTAAAAAGATAATGCCTCAGTCCGTCTTAAAACGGACTCTCTTCTTTGGCTTGGCCACAAAACTCTTTGTACTCTTTAACTCTATGACCTCGGTGGCGTATGACTGCTGTCATTAATCATACACCACTATGACTCCATGATTTTTTTATTAACGACTTTTCACCGAAAACTCTACGTTTTGAAGATGTTTTTTTTGAAATTACCCATATAAAATCTATGTACAAGAAATGCAACCTTAGAATAAATACTGATATGCATAGAAATAGTGAGAAGAGAAAATAAAGAAATATTATTTGTTTTTCAATATTTACATTCCAAGGCGTTGTCAAAGAATTTATGATATTCATCCTCTGTATAGGGATCTTCAACATCATTATCATCATCATCATTGTCGACGACATCTTCTGGTTTTGCTAGACAATGTTAACCCAGAAATTCACAGATTGCCATATCATCACCACACATCACACAAGTAGGGAATTGAGTAGTTTTGTTTTTCAAATATTTTTTTTTTGGGTCATAGTTAAAATTGAGAAGTTTGAAAAAGGACACACACACATGTTTTTAGCCAAATAATTATCTGAATTTTATTGATTTTTAATTTTTGCAAAAACTAAAATGGGAAATTTACAAATGAGAAACAATTTTTTTTGGGAAAACTAATAGCAAACTACAACTAATAATTATTATTTTTTGTTTATATATGTAATAACTAATTACAACCGCTAGGAGTAGCAGAATTTGGTAATTTCGAGTAAGGAATAGTTTTTTTATTGTTTGAAAGGAAACCATTTTAAATTGAGTTTTTTTGTTAGTTTTTTCTTCTTTCCATTTCAGGTCAATAAGGCTGAAAGGTATTGCTAAATTATGTGTACGTGTGTATACGTGTGGAAGTGTGTGTGTGAGAGAGTTTGATTATAGAAGTCTAGTGTAAAAGTGTTTCCGGTGACCAATAAATTACGGTAACTACACGGCGAGCAATTGTTTCACAACATCAAATAAAACAACAAAACAAATCACATTTAAATCTAAACGACTAGTCTTAAAATATTTTCTTTCTTTTTTCAAGTTTTGTTCAAAAGCTTTCTTTGTTTTTTTTTTTGGTTTTTCAGTTTTTCTTTTTTTAAATAACTAAAGAATTAGTTTAGGCTTCAAAATAATAATATTAGGAATTGTAGTAGTAGTGGTAGTAGTAGGAATCTAAGTTGGCTTTAAACGAAATTAAAAAACACTACCCAAAAAAAGCAATAACCACAATTAATTATTAAATACCTTGAAAAGAAAAAAATAAGAATTAAATTAAATTAATAATTGCATAAAAATAACAACAACAAAAATATATATAAATACAAATAATATAAAATTAATTTTGAAAATGCAAACGCCAGTTAAAAGAGGGAAAGGCAACCATTTAATAAAAAAATATACAACATTAATGTTTGGCTTAAACAACAACATATTATTTGTATAAGAATTATAACAAGGACAAGCAACAGTGTACAAGAGGTTGGTATGATAATTCTGGTAAATTGTTTATACATATAAAAAATAAAAGAATTATTATTTTTCTTGAGTAATTTTATGAAATTGTGTTTTTAAGATTTTTTCAAGAGATATTATGCCACCAAATGCGGAGTTTTTAAATATTTTTTTAAGGGTTATCTAGGGCTAAATTTGGGTTTGGAACATTAAATTTCACAGACTATGTATATAGTGGACTATAATGTGGATTCTTTAAAAAAAATGTTGTCAAGGACTTTCAGACCTACAAACGTGGATTTTTTAAACAAATTTTCTCAAGGACTATCAGGCCTATTAACGTAGGTTTTTAAACAAACTTTCTCAAAGACTATCAGACCTATGAACGTGGATTTTTGAACAAATTTTCTCAAGGACTATCAGACCTATAAACGTGGATTTTTAAAACAAATTATCACAAGGACTATCAGACCTATAAGCGTGGATTTTTTAAACAAATTATCACAAGGAATATAAGACCTTTGAAAGTGGATTTAAAAAAAAAAAAAATTCAAGGACTATAAGACCTACAAACGTGAATTTTTTAAACAAATTTTCTCAAGAACTTTCAGACCTACAACTTGGATTTTTTAAATAAATTTTCTCAAGGACTATCACACCTATGAATGTGGACTTTTTGAACAAATTGTCTCAAGGACCATCAGACTTATAAACGTAAATTTTTTAAACAATTTTTTTCAAGGACTTTGAGACCTCCAAACTTGGAATTTTTAAACAAATTTTCTCAAGGACTAACAGAGCTATAAACGTGGTTTTTAAACAAAATTTCTCAAGGACTATCAGACCTATAAATTTTCTCAAGGACTATCAGACCTATAAACGTGGATTTTAAAAAAAATTTTCTCAAGGACTATCAGACCTATAAACGTGGATTTTTAAACAAATTTTCTCAAGGACTATCAGACCTATAAACGTGGATTTTTAAACAAATTTTCTCTAGGATTTTTTAAAGAATATTTTTCCAAAGACCATCAGTCTTATAAACTTGGATTTTTTAAACAAATTTTCTCAAAGATACACAGAGCTCTAATCGTGGATTTTTTAAATAAGTTTTCTCAAGGACTATTAGACCTATAAAGTTGGATTTTTTAAACAAATTTTATCAAAAATACACACAATTATATTACAATGTACCAAGTTTGGATCAAATCGGATACTCCCTTTGAGAGTGCGTACCAGCCAGATAGACGGACGGACGGAATCGCTAGGTCGACTCCAAATGTCCCAAATCGAATTTGGTGCAAAGAGACCTAGGGTCTAAAATCGTTATTTCATTGAGGCATGTTTTGGCCGTATCAAAAGATATATAACCTCTCCACCCATATTTCTTTAAGTCATTCAATCAAAAATACTCTCTCTCTCTCTCTATTTTAAAAAAAATATTCTCTTTCAGCTTTTTAACAGAAAGAGACAACATCTCAACATAATTTATTTTAATTTAGATCATTTTTCATTTTCTAAAGTCTTCAGAAATGACCTATTGATAAAAATACATGCCTTTCAGATTTTTGTCTCTGAAAGAACTCCCTTTTACCAAAATTATCACACCACCCAGATACACTTCCACTTATACTTCCAAATATTTGTTCATTTGTTTTTGTTTCTTTTTTGTTTTGTTTTTGGGGATTACTTACTTGTACGACGCGTAACACGTGTTGTCAGCGTTGTGGGCACTTGTGTTGTGGTCGTATTACTACTGTTGTTGTTGCTGTTGTTCTTGCTATTATTGGTTGTTGCTGCCATTGCCGCACCTTTAGCTGTCAGTACTGAGCCTGAGGCGTTGGTGGCATCGCTCATCATATAGCCTCCAATTGGATAGGGTGGCATTTTCGGTTGTGAGCATACGCCTATGCTATGATTGAGCTGCTGCTGCTGTTGATGTCCTCCGCCGACCATTGTCGATGACGACGATGTTGTCGAGGCCAACGAGGTCTCGTCGAAACATGGATCGTCGTCCTGCAAAGAGGAGAAAAGAACAAAGAAAAACAAATAAAATACCAAAATAATGAAATGTAAATTTTTATGAACGGAAATATTGGAGAGTGGAAAGTCATAAAGACAGATGGGAAAAAAATGGGAAATAAAATGGTTGAAAACAAACGAGATAATCATGCTGAAAGAAATAAATTGAGTTTAAAATGGGTACCAGACACAGAATCGATGGCGATAGACTTCCTTTGTGATTATTATTCTCTTCAAGATAATATATGTACATGAAATTTCGCATTTAAAAAGTCCAAATTTTACCATCCCAATTAGATATAACCTTTATTATATTCGAAACTTTGGGGAATTTATTATCCAAATTTGATCTCTTTAAAATGTCGGTCATAAACAATTATAAATTTAGCTCTTATATTTCCAATTTAATGTCCTTCATCTAAATGATATACGATGTTCCGAAATTTAGGTACGAAAGATACCTCAAGTATTTGTTATATACGAAATTTTGGACATGAAAAATCCTAATCTCTTCGGATTCCCAATTTTATATACCCTCATATACCTGGAATTTGAATTCTCAGAAATGTTGGTTATAAAAGATCACAAATTTAAACCTTTAGATTTGCAACTTAATATTCCTCATGGAATAGTCTTCGAACTTTTGGAAATGAAAAATTCGAATTTAATATTTTTGGAATCCTAATTTCATATACAATAATTTATAAAAATTTCGGATAAAAACTAACATTTTTATTTCGGATAATAATATTTTAAATTTCAATAAAAAAACAAATTGTAAATGGTGACTTCCTCAGACACCATACTTCAGCTACTTCCTCAAAATTTCGAAGAAAAAAAAATATTGGAGCTGGAGCCCAGTTGCCTAATTACCATTATGTGTATCTTATATTCGAAGTTTCGGCTATGAAATTCAACTAAGACCTCTTCAGATTACTAATACAATAAATATTCAGGGTGAGATAAAAAAAAACTGCAACAAAGTCAAATGCCATAATTTTTACATTGTTTTAAATTTTATTGAATGATACCGAAAAATATCGGAAATAGCATCAAATTTTAGAATTAGCTTAGATTTGTTCGAATTGGTCACCTTTGGCACGAATTATGGCCTTCAAACGGCCAATGAAACCGTCACACGCTGCCCGAATGATGCTCTGCGGTATTTTGGCCCACTCCCGGCGAAGCGCTTGCTTGTCCTGATCGACACTTTGGTATTTTTTAGTGCCAACCTTGCTTTCCAAAATACTCCAGACACAGTAGTCCAACGGATTGGTATACGGAGATTTTGGTGGCCATTGTGCGCTGGAAATGTAGCGAGGAACCTCATTTAGTAAACATTCTTGGGTGGCGCGTGCTGAGTCCAAGGTCCAAAGTCCAAGGTCTGCGGCCAAAATGTTTGCGTTCCAAAGGCTTTAATACACCCTCCAGAATAATTTTGCGATAATATTCGGCACACACTATTACCATGGCCGACGCTTGAGTTCTGCTGGCCAACCGAAGGTGCACATTTTCAGCTGAACTCTTTGGCAAGCAAACACGATCATTTAGCTTGTTTACAAACTGCTGGACAACGAATGTTTTCTCATCAGAGAAAACCAAATTCGGCAGTTCACCACTTTAGGCCAAGCTCTTTTGAGTCTATTTTCTTTCTGTTACGGTGTAAGCTCTTGCACTTTTTGGAATTCCAATGGCTTTATCCCGAGCTTATTTTTCAATATTTGCCGAATGGAATTCTGCGATATGTTCAGCTCACGAGTAATTTTTCGGCCATTACGACACGGGTTTTCGATCAAGTAGCTTCTTTACTTTTCGAAACATTTCTGCTGATGTTGCTGTTTTCTTCCGTCCACTTCCTTGACGTCGTCGGGCTTTGCTATCAGTATCACGGTAACGAGCGATGACACGAAACACAAAAGATTCAATCAGATTTAAATGCTGGAGTGCTCTAACGATAGCCACTTGTGGTTTCCAGCCAAATATAAAGAAATCACACTATCCCACTTGAATTCCGCCATCACGAATAACTTTTTTTCTGGAAAAATCTGACCAAAATGCTTTTGTACGCTTGTAAACAATATGGTGAGCTGTCACTGCAATAATTTTAACAGCTGTCGGACGAGTGGCTTAGAAATGACAGCAGTCTGAAATTGGTTGCAGTTTTTTCATCTCACCCTGTATATATTATATTCGAAATTTCAAATATGAAAATATCCAAATTAGAGCTCCCCAAATTCCCGATTTGATTAACATAAGCATGTGTATGAAAAATCCGAAAATCCCAATTTAATATACTCTCATATATGAAATATTCAAAATTTAGAAGTATAAAAATCGAAATTTGACCAGTTCAAATTCAAATTTGATGTATTCGAATTTTCTGTTATGGAAAATATTCAAAATTTTCTACAAAGTTAGTTGCCGTATCCAAATAAATCTCAATTTCGAATACAAATTTTCGAAATTTCGAACATAAAAAATTGACATTTAGCCTCTTTAAATTCCAAATTAAATGTTTTCGAAATCTTCGGCAATGAAAAATATTCAAAATTTTCTGCAAAGTTAGTAGCTATGTCCAAGTAAATCTCAATTTCGAATATAAAATTTCGATTATAAAAATTCGACATTTGGCCTATTTAAATTCCAAATTTGATGTATTCGAAATCTTCGGTAATGAAAAATATTTGAAATTTCCTGCAAAGTAAGTTATCTTCTGAAAGTAAATCCCAATTTGTTTATTTTACGTGAGGACTGTTCAAACATATGGCCAAATACGTGACTGTACCCAGTCACTGGCTAGCGAGGTGGGATGTTTTTTTTTTTTTTTTTTTTGGGATGCCTACTTATTATTCCAAAGAATTGAGATTTACCATTCATGGTGGTCTATTCCACAAATGTCAATTATCAGTAACTGTTATCTACGTCGTCTGCGTGGCTTATTGGGGTCTTTTTCAGCTTTCAGCTTAACCCAGAACTGTCAATGACGTCAATTGGCCATCAAACAGAAGGATGTTGTTGATCAACGCACACACCCGCACAAAAATAGAACAGCAATCATTGATGGAAAATTACCATTGCATCCCTATGGGGATGGAGGATAATCATTTAATTACACAAACTGATGATGGGGAGAAGAAGAAATTTGCCACAGCAGTCTGTTTAAAATTCTAAGATAATATGGGTTTAAAATGGACTTCTAACCCTCTCCCCTCCTCCAATCCCCTTTTTGCAATTATAGGAAGTGCTTGTTTTTTACTTTCCATGTTGACTCTTCTTTTTCCAACATCCCACCTCACCCACATTTACATATCATGACCCTAATTTGCCCACTAACCCCTCTTGGTGCAGCAAAACGGTCACTACCACCTTTGTCACCTTTTGCAATCACAGTTAAAAATGCGTTGGACATGCAATAATTTGATATCCAGCTAAAAGGTGGGGCGGGTGGAGTTTTAAAACCGCAACAACAAAACACAGGTTAATGTCGTTGTTTTTTTTGTCGTGTAATTTAATTATTTTTGTAATTCAATATGGCTGGGAGAGCGATATGTTGGAATTAAGTAGTTATAGCATGTGGTCAGATATAGTGGATAATTAATTATGACAATGGAGGGTAAGGGATGGGGGAAGAGGTGATTGTTCGAGAGGGTCATGAACTTTTAAAGAGGGATTTTAAAATAAAATTTAATGGAGGAATATCAGCGGTCCGGCTGGGGATGGTTTTAAGGTAATAATGAAGATTTGAACAAGAATTACCGAAGTATTCTATTTGAAATTTTTAGGGAACAAATCTAGGATTTAATTGCTAATTTTTAAGATTAAAGGATTTTTTATACCCTCAGCCATATTGCTAGTGACGGTATATATCATTTGATACGGCCAAAACGTGCCTTATCGAAATACCACTTTTAGACCCTAGGTCTCTTTGGACCAAATCCGTTTCAGGACATTTCGAGTCGATCTAGCGATGTCCGTCCGTCTGGCTGTTGCGCACGATAACTCTCGAAAGGAGTATCCGAATTGGTTAAAACTTGGTACATCGTAATATTATTATCAAGCTTAGTTTGAGTTCAGAGATGTGCAATATAGGTTCAGTCCTTCTGGTACCTCCCCCACAAAATGTCAAAAATTTCAAAAAAAAAAAATATTTTACTGCACAGAGAGAGAAAGGAAAATCCGATTTTACTCCAACCTTGCACATCCTAGTATTTGCATCAGTTCTAGGTCAGGTGCAAAAATGGACAATATCGATCTACTCCATCAAGCACCTCCCCGACAATTATTTTGAATAATTCTCACCCTTATAAAATGTGATGTAAGTTTCCGATTGTCCTCAAATTACACAGATCACAATATTTTTTTTAACCCAAGGTTGGGTGTGAAGATGAAAGATATTGGTCCACTCCTTCGTGTACCTCGCCCACAAAGGGTCAAAATTGTGAATATCTATGAAGCGAAATTAACATCCGATTCCACCCAGACTTGGCCCATCTCAATATATTTCCATCAATACAAGATCTGTTACAAATATGGTAGAGATCGGACCATTTCTTCTGGTACGTCCCCCACAAAGGGTGAAAATTCGGAATAATCGAAATGATTATTAAATCCGAAATAAGCATCCGTTTATCTCCATATTGCACACATCCCATTATTTCTACTAACAAAAGATCTGTTGTGAAGATGGAATATATCGGTCCACTCCTTTTGGTACCCCCCAAAGGGTCAACATTTAGAATCCTATGAAGCTCCTAAAACGCGAAATTAAAACGCGATTCCATTCAGACTTGCCACATCTCAATATTTCTTTCAACACAAGATCTGTTACAATGATGGTAGAGATCGGATAATTTCTTCTGGTACCTTCCTCACATAGGGTCAAAATTTTGAATAGCCAAAACGATCATAAAATCTAAAATAAGCATCATATTTCACACATGCAAGAGGTTTTCCATTCATACATGCAAAAGGTATTCTGGTAATAATAACCAAGTTATAAGAGATCTTTAAAAGGTCTTCTGGCTATAGAAGAGCTATAAAAGTTGTTCTAGCTGTAGAAGGGCTTCAACAGGTTTTCTGGCTGCAAAAGGTATTCTGGTAATAATAAACCAGATTTTAGGAGACCTGCCTATAAAAGAGGTGTAACATGAATTCTGCCTACAGGAGTGCTGTGACAGGCCTTCTGGCTGTAGAATAGGTGCAGCTTGTCTTCTGGCTTTAGAAAGGCAGTACCAGGTCTTCTGCCTATAAAAGAGCCGTAGCAGATCTTCTGGCTATAGAAGAGCTATAGCAGGTCTTCTGACTATTGAAAAGCTGTATCAGAACTTCTGGCTATAGAAAAGCTGTAGCAGGACTTCTGGCTATAGAAATACTGTAGCTATAGAAGAGCTGTAGCAGGTCTTCCGGCTATAGAAGAGCTGAAGCAGGTCTTCCAGCTATAGAAGAGCTGTAGCAGGTCTTCCAGCTATAGAAGAGCTGTAGCAGGTCTTCCGGCTATAGAAAGGCTGTGGCAGATCTTCCGGCTATAGAAAGGCTGTGGCAGGTCTTCCGGCTATAGAAGAGCTGTGGCAGGTCTTCCGGCTATAGAAGAGCTGTGGCAGGTCTTCCGGCTATAGAAGAGCTGTGGCAGGTCCTCCGGCTATAGAAGAGCTGTGGCAGGTCTTCCGGCTATAGAAGAGCCGTAACAGGTCTTCCGGCTATAGAATAGCTGTAGCAGGTCTTCTGCCTATAAAAGAGCCGTATCAGGTCTTCTGGCTATAGAAGAGCTGTTTAATAACTATTTATCAATCTTTCCAACGAAGATTTTTTCAAAGACGACGATTCGAACTTTAAGGAGATTTTTTTAAAGATTGGATGTTTTTCTAAATTAAAAAAAAAATCATTTCTAAAAAAAAAATATTTAAAATTTTGTTGACAATATTGGTTGGGACCTTGGACCTGGGAGGTACGTTTATATGGAGATTATACCCAAATATATATCCCTATGCTGAGATTTTTCTGTAAGATGGTTCTCTATCCCATAAGTAGCCCAAAAACAATTTTTTGGTTGATAAATGTGGTCAAGACCCTCAAAATAGGTAAAAACACCTTTATATGGGCGCTACTCCGAAACATTGACCTGCAATGAAAAATTTTCTCCGAAGAGGATTTCTCCCTTTTGGAAAGCAAAATGCCAAATCAATCGGAAAATGTGGCCAAGACCTCGGAAATAGCTAAAATCAGGGGATACCTTCACAAGGAGGGTTGTACCAAAACGTGGACCTACATTGATATTATTTTGCAAAGCCGTTTTCTTTTTACAAAGAGCTTAAATTACCAAAATTCGTGTTAAAAATATGTCTAAAATGAAAAAATATTTGAAATCGACATATACACTTGAATGGGGGCTATATTAATACGTGGACTCACATGACCCATATTTCGTACAAATAAATCTACATGTAAACCATAGACCTGCTTGAAATTCAAAAGGTCTATCTTAAATTTTACGAATTAGAGAGCAAAATATTTGAGGCCCTTCGTGTATGGTTAAGGGCTTTATGTATATAATGAACTCTAAAAATTTGGTCTGGGAACCCAAAACTCTTTGGGCATTTTAATCTACTAATCGAATGCTGTCATCTCAAAATGGAATTCCCCACGATCTATCCGGTTTGGCTTTTGCATAGTGTTATGTAACTCCTTTTTAAGGCATTTTTATACCCTACAACACTATGTGTTGGGGGTATTATAAGTTTGATTGGGCCAAAAATTATGTAACACCACGAAATATTGGTTTCCCACATAGGAAAGTATATATGGATCTTCCTAGCTCGCCGAGCTGAGTCGATCTAGCTATGTATGTCCGTCCGTCCGTCTGTCCGTCTGTCCGTCTGTCCGTCTGTCCATGTTAATTTGTAATCACTCTACAGGTCGCAATTATGGCCCGATCTTCACGAAATTTAGAATGGAGGTGGGGTTAAGGTCAGAATAGAACCCTATTTCTTTTGGAGATGATCGCATAATATTTAGGGGTCGAAATGGACCAAAAACTGAAAAATTTCTTGATTTTGCAGTTGCTCTGCTGGTCGCAATTATGGACCAATCGACGCGTAAATTAGCATGGGGCTAGAGCTACGGGCTGGGCAGAAGCCTTCCAATTTTGATGGTCATCGGGTAATATTTAGTGGGTGAAAAAGACTATACATTTGTGTTAAATAAAAGTCAAATTTCCATTAAACCGCGAATATTTTTAGTCCCGGCGATATCATAAATAGGCGAACAGGTCAATTGTGACAGTTACGTAGATACCGATAGTAAATATATCGGATATATATAGCGAAATATACACAATATGTATATACAAAGGGAAGGAATGTTAGATAGAATGCTTATATCTCAAGAATGGCTGGACCGATTTTGACAAAGTTTGCCAATTCAGAGTAGTGTAGTATTTTGTGACATTTTTTTTATCGCATGCGATTTTTTCCATTTGACTTATAATATTAAGGTATACATTTTGTAATATTTTTCCACCTTACAACACAGGTCTTGGAAATATTATATACAGATTGCAATTATCGTCCGATCCTCACGAAAAGGGTAGGGTTAGGCTTAGAAGGGCTAGGCCTATTGTTTTCAATGATGTCCGCAATATATTTAGGGGTTGAAATGGACCAACAACTAAAATGTTCCTGATTTTTCAGCCGTTATAAAGGTCACAAATAGAAACTAATGGACACGAAATCTAGCATAAAGTTAGAGTTTAAGACAGCGGGTAGAATGAACCACTACTTTTGTCTGAAAAATACCAACATTACTTACAGGTGATAGCCGAAATACACAAAATGCGAATGCCTTTTTTTTGCTGATTTCGTTGACGAATATAGCCAAATATCCTAGACAAGCAAATCATATAGATGAGTCTAAATTAAGAAATACAGTGGGACCTCTTGCTTTTGGAGATGATCGCACAATATTCAAAAACAGGGAAAATTTCCTAATCACACAATTGAAGCCAATCGACACGCCTGAGAAGAATGTTAGGGACGGTGAAGAAGTCTAGCATTATGTATGGCCATTGGATTATATTTATCTATAAAATGGACCACTACAACTAACAGCACGACGAAGTTCGTAAATATTGGTTAAATGTCCCTGGCCAAAATGCTAGTAATATCTGAGCAGTGCTCCGTGACATAATTTCAAAAGCGAAATCTGCCAAAATGGATTTGAACATAAGGGGGCTTCTAACATATTATAGTGTTGTAGGGTATCACATGGTCGGCCCCGCACGACTATAGCCTTTGCTTACTTGTTTTCTAATATTTTAACTTTATTTGAATTTTTAAGGGCTTAATAAAATTGAACCGAATTTCCTGAAGAAATCTTGATTTTTTTTAAAGCTAAAAAAGAGTATTACTTTTCGTGGCTGAATAAATAAAAACTCCTACATCTAATAAATTTGCATCTGCACCACAAATGAAATCGAAATTCCAGACATTCTTCATTTTTTCCTCTCATTTCACTTTCGATTGCATCAACATCTAACCAAACCACACATTTATTTGTCTAGTTATTGTTGCCACCGCAACATATTATCCGCAATGTTGCCCAGAAACGCAACGAAGATGCAACAAAGATTCCCAATGATTCGATGATGATTTCAAGACTCCCTCCCTTTCTCCATCAAATAATAATAAAAAAATATGGATATGTGATCGACATCATCCATTTCACAGGTCCCATTCATTATTATTATTATTGTTGTTGTTATGATGTCAACACAAATGTCATTATACGATACTGATTTTCATTTTCATTTCATATTTGTAACATTCATACATACCTCAATCAATGAGAAATCCACTTTGATTATACGCTGCTTGCTACGCGGTGTTGCATGGATTTCGTTGGGCTCCTGCAGCTGCTTCAATGAGTCGCGCAGTTTATACTGTTGCGGCTGCTGGTGCTGCTGGGATGAGGCTGAAGCTGGTGTCGATGTGGCCGACGATGTTGCTGTGGTAGAAGTAGGAAGCACTGGAATGAAATCAAAATACCAAAGAGTCAGTCAGAAGATGGGACAATGCAACAAATTAATGTTGGGATGGATGGGGAGATGGATGGATGGCTGCATAAACAATGTAATCAGAGGCACCAGCAAATGAAGACAATTCGAAAGGGAATGTGTATTAAGTATTAAAATAAAGTATTATATCACCCAACTGACATCTTTTCAATGCATCTATCTGGAAGACATTGCGCAAAGTTGCAGATTGATGAGATGCAGTTGGGGGTAACGTTGTTATTACACTCGAGGAAAAATGTAGGGATGTATAAATTAAATTATACTCAAAAAGATTTCAGATTTTTTTTCGATTTTTAATCTATTTTTTCAGATGGTCCTTTGAAAAAATATTCTTTAAAAATCTAAATTTTTCAAAAGATAATAATGCATTTTTTAAGATTTTTTTCAAAGGTTTATTAGACGTGAATTTTTTTAAGATTTTTTTTTTTCAAAGGATCAGATGTGGAATTTTTTTATGAATTTTTTTCAAAGGATCATCTGACGTGGATTTTTTTAAAGAATATTTTTTCAAAGGTTCAACAGACGTGGATTTTTTTAAAGAATATTTTTTCAAAGGTTCATCAGACATAGATTTTTTAAAGAATATTTTTTCAAAGGTTCAACAGACGTGGATTTTTTTAAAGAATATTTTTTCAAAGGTTCAACAGACTTGAATTTTTTTAAGGAATGTTTTTCAAAGGTTCAACAGACGTGGATTTTTTTAAAGAATATTTTTTCAAAGGTTTATCAGACATAGATTTTTTAAAGAATATTTTTTCAAAGGTTCATCAGACGTGGATTTTTTAAAGAATATTTTTTCAAAGGTTCTTCAGACGTAGATTTTTTTAAAGAATATTTTTTCAAAGGTTTATCAGACGTGGATTCTTTTAAAAAATATTTTTTCAAAGGTTCATCAGACGTGGAATTTTTTAAAGAATATTTTTTCAAAGGTTAATCAGACGTGGATTTTTTAAAGCATATTTTTTCAAAGGATTATTAGACGTAGATTTTTTAAGATTTTTTTTTCAAAGGATTTTTTTAAGAATTTTTTTAAAGACGTGGATTTTTTTAATTTTTTTCAAGGGTTCATCAGACGTGAATTTTTTTAAAGAATATATTTTTCAAAGGTTCATCAGACGTAAATTTTTTTAAAGAATATTTTTTCAAAGGTTCATCAGACGTGGATTTTTTAAAGATTTTTTTCAAAGCATCATCAGGGGTGGATTTTTTTAAGAATTTTTTTTCAAAGGATCATCAGACGTGGATTTTTTTAAAGAAAATTTTTTCAAATAATCATCAGACATGGATTTTTTAAAGAAAATTTTTTCAAATAATCATCAGACATGGATTTTTTAAAGAATAATTATTTTGAAAGGATCATCAGACGTGGATTTTTTAAAGAATATTTTTTCAAATGTTCATCATAAGTGGATTTTTTAAGAATATTTTTTCAAAGGTTCATCAGACGTGGATTTTTTAAGAATTTTTTTCAAAGGATTATCAGACGTGGATTTTTTTAAAGAATATTTTTCAAAGGTTCATCAGACGTGGATTTTTTTGAAGAATATTTTTCAAAGGTTCATCAGACGTGGATTTTTTTAAAGAATTTTTTTCGTTTTTCAAAGATTCATCAGACGTGGATTTTTTTTGTTTTTCAAAGATTCATCAGACGTGGATTTTTTTTAAAGAATTTTTTTGTTTTTCAAAGATTCATCAGACGTGGATTTTTTTTAAAGAATTTTTTTGTTTTTCAAAGATTCATCAGACATGGATTTTTTTAAAGAATTTTTTTGTTTTTCAAAGATTCATCAGACGTGGATTTTTTAAAGAATTTTTTTGTTTTTCAAAGATTCATCAGACGTGGATTTTTTAAGAATTTTTTTTTAAAGGGAGCTACCAGAATGTGGTGTCCGATATATTCCGTCTTCACAGCAGATTTTAAGTTGTTAGAAATATTGATATAAATTTGAGGAAATTAGGTGATGCTTTCTTGTTATATGAATTGTTTTCTGTAAAAATATAAATCTTTTTTTATGGGAGCGGATCTATATTGTCCATCCCCGATCTCGATCTAAGTTTGATAATAAAATTACAATGTACCCAGTTTGGACCACATCGAATATTCCCTTCGAGAATTATCTTAAGCACCAGCCATCCAGACAGACAGAGGAACAGAGGGACACCCCTACATCGACTCTAAATGTCCTGAAACGGATTTGGTCCGAAGATACCTAGGGTCTAAAAACATTATTTAGTTGAGCCACGTTTTAGTCGAATCAAATGATATAGGCCCCCTGTAGGTTATAAAAATATTTAAAAAAAAACTTGAAATCTGCAAGAGTCCTTAAAATAGTCCTTGCAAGACTATTCTTAAAAAAATTCGAAAAAAAAAACTTAGTTGATATCTTTAAAAAAAAAATTAAAAAACCAAGTTTATGACTTGGTTAGACCTTGAAAAATAAAACTTAAAAAAATTATTACTTAGTTGAAACTTGCAAAAATATTTTGAAAAAAAAAATCTACCTTTGTGATCTGATAGCCTTTAAAAACAATATTCCGAAATCCGCTTTGAGAGCATGTGGTACTGCTTAGCAAATCAAAACCAAGTTTCTATATCGATACTTGAAAAAATACTCCTAAAAATCCCACTTGTTGGACTTCCATATTCTTTAAAAAATATCTAAAAAATCTTAGTTAAGTGGTTTCTGTAACCCTTGAAAACATATTCTCTAAATGTCCTCGTCCTTGGAGCTGAATATATTATTATTTTATTATATATTATTACACATTATATTTATGAATGCATTTTTCTTCGAGTGTAAAAATAGTCATAGCATTTTCTTAAATTAACAACTGACATAGTTTTATAGCCCAAAATTGAATGGCTATGGGAATTAATTACTTGAATATGAAAATTTTTACAGAAATTGTAACACTTGTGCGGTGTGTCATAATACCACTTAGGTGGTTGGTAGGTAGGCAGGTAATACACCTTATGCGAGTACATATTTGACGTTGTCATAATTTCCATTAAAAATTCTAGCTAATCCATATAGAGTGTGTGTGCGTGCGTGTGTGTCAGGTCCCATTAGTTCCTCTTCTTTGGCATAACACATTTTTTGACCTATAGCTGCAGCAACAGCAACAAACTCACATAAACGTCTAACGTTCTTGTTGTGTAAACGAAACAAGTTCCAGTTCAGCTGGGAAAACATGGCTCTCACACCGCCACTGTCTGAAACATCGTCAAATGTTTGTTTTGCTTTTCAGGCAGGTTGGAAACTGGCTTTTCTTCTTCTTCTTCGCCTTCAAACGAAACCTAGCGGCTCGGCTAAAAACTTTACCTTAATGGCCGTCTATAGCTGGCTAAATATGCCCGCCATTGCCGTCACCTCAGAAGTTGGTTGGCTCAACACGAAATGCCGTTCTTTTTGAGCGAAACAAAAAAGAATTCTCAATTGCAGAACAATTTAATTAAAATGAGGTTAAAGTATTCTAGAAGTATTCTTTAGTTTTTTCAAGTGTTTGATGTTTGGACTTTTTGTGTGTGTATGAAACAACAACTTTGGCGGCCAAACAAAGAGAGCAGAGGAGAGAGAGAGAGGGTACAGATATATATATGGAGAAGACCAAAGGCTGTTTAAAGAAATACAGCCTTAGGCAATTGTGTCTTTTGATTAAACAGCCTTGGGGTAGTTGTGATTTAAAGATCGCCCCCGTTATCCTTGCTGTGGATAAAGGGTGAAGATTTTTCACAAAATTAAACATGGAGGAAATGTGAGATGTGGGGAAATTATAAAATATCAACGTTGATACGTTTGATGGTTCTTGAAAAATCCTGGAAAAATTGGATAAAAATCCATGTCTATGTTTTTTAGTCCTTGAAAATCGGCATTTAAGGCTCTGCAGCAAATATTTAAAAACACATTTGGTTGTATGGCCTTGTTGGTCTTTGAAAATGTACTCAATTTTGTGGTTGTGACGTAAGTGTGGTTCTCATTCACTTGTGAATGTTCGACATTTCACCAAAATTCTCCGGAATGAAATCATGACATTGGTAGCGATCAGCAAATATTGCAAAGCTGTCAGTTTCGTTTTGATAAACATTGCTGTCTGTAATAGCGAGTAACATGAAGTTAAGCCAACGGGTGAATGCTCAAAATTTAAGCTATCTGTTGTGATGATCCTTGAAAAAGTTCTTATAAAATCCAATTTTGGCGTACTTAAGAAAATATTAAAAAAAAAAAATAAATAAATTTTGGAATCTCTAAAGGATCCTTGAAAAAAATATATTCCTAAAAATATAAACGTTGGAGTCTATAAAGGTCCTTGAACAATATTTAAAAAAAATACACATCGAAGTCTCTGAAGATCCTAGTAAAATATAGTCATATTCAAGTTAGAGGCCCCGAAGGTCTTTGAAAGGGTATTCTTTAAAAATCCATGTTGGAGATCCGAGAATTTAAACAAAATTCGTATAAAATACGCATTCCTGAAGATCCTCGAAAAATATAATCAAATTAAAATTGGAGGTCCAGTAGGTCTTTGAAAGATATTAAAAAAATATGTTGTAGATCATGAGGTCCAAAAAATATTTTCAATGAGTCCAAGTTGGAGACCTAAAGGTCTTTGAAAAGTGTTTTCAAAAAATCCGCGGTGGAGTTCATGAAGGTCCTTGAAAAAGAATCTCCAAAAAATCCAAGTTATGTCTTTGAAGGTCCTAGAAAAAATATTAATTTGTAGAGTCGGGAGTGCTCCCACACAAAACACTCCCTCTCTTCGAGCAAACCTACTTGCGTGCAAGTTTCGCTCCCGAGTGAGAAAGACAAAATCTGTGGCAAAACGTGCCTCATGGAAATAATGCTTTTTGACTCCAGATCTCTTTGGATAAAATCCAAAGTCGCTATATATCTTTGGACATTTGGAGTCGATTTAATATACCCTTCATATTATAGATGGTAGAGGGATTACA